AGACAGAGTCAATAAGTCCGGAGGTGGGAGAAGGACGTAGGTGGATGGCAGGTCGAGCCCGCACCTTGGCGTTCCGCACCACACCTTCTGGTCCAAGCAGAAAATGATCAGTTTTTTAACCTACAACACAAGGGTGGCTGACACGGCCGAAGACGCACCTAGGCGTATCGTCATACTTGGCTCGGATCCCGCGGGGTAAGAGTGTCATAAAGGCCACATTAAGATGGAGCCATGGAGACCTGAACCTCAGGCCACCTGTCGACCGCTTCATACAAACACACAACACTGGGCCGACTGCTAGTTCCAAGTTATCCCGTCAGTTGGCAGTCATGCAGGCCACAGCTTTTAGCGCACCGTGATAGCTTCAAGCGCGTCAGATGGTTTATAGAAAGGAAAGTGCGCTGAGTCATCAACCTCACTCTACCTTTCCATTCCCAGGCTCCAGTCACTGTCGGAGCCGGTCAGTTGACAGGCGCTGGGAATGGGCGTGGTTGCTGACATGATTTGGTGACCTTGTCTGCGCGCGCCACACGCACGACCTCACCCCCCAGACACACAAATACACCAGGATTTCACACAACGGGGATTACACGGCCTGTCTCTCGCTTGCGTGAGAGGGCCGTGGAAGGTGCTGTTTCAGTCCGTCTCCCAGCTTACCAGTCCGCCACTCCACACACGACAGTTCGACCATCGATTTTGATGATGTCTACCGTGTGCCCCACAGCTGCAGCAGCGGTGGGAGCAGGGACGGTGACTTGCGCAGGGGTTTATAGTGTCAGTAGACTTGCGCTGCATCTACCTACACTCACTCCTCCTCCCCCGCCTGGGCCCGGTGTCAAGACAGAGTCAAGAAGACCGGAGACGGGGGAGGCCGCAGGTGGATGGCTCGGACGGATCCTCACCTTGGCGTGCCACCACACCCCCTGGTCCACACACACAAATGACCAGGACTTCAACCAACACAACAGAGATTTGGAGGCTGGCACGACCAAAGCCGCACCTAGGCGTGCCGCCGACGCCTGGCTCGGATCCCACACTGTGGTGGGAATGCCGTAAAGGCCACATTAAAAAGGAGCCATTGCAGCCTGATGTTCAGACCGCCTCCAGTCAAGGAGGAGGTCCAAGTTACCCCGTCAGTTGGCAACCTTCCAAGCCACGGCTTTTAGCGCACCGTGATAGTTTCAAGCGCGTCAGATTGTTTATAGTGAGGAGAAAGTGCGCTGAGTCGTCGACCTCACTCTCCCTTCCCATCCCCACACCCCAGCAGCTGTCCGAGCCGGTCAGCAGACTGGAGTGGGAAATGGGCGCCGTGGCTGGCACGGTCGACTGACCATGCCTGCGCGCGCCACAGCACGACCTGCCCCTCCTCCCCCATGCAACACCAGGATTTCACACAACGGGGGTTCAACGGCGTGTCTCTCACTTGCGTGAGAGGGCCGTGGAAGGTGCTGTTTAAGCCCGTCGCCCAGCCCACCAGTCCGCCACTCCACACAACACACACACGCACACACAACGGGGCGGACTGCGTGGACCGAGTGGGGGCGTCAATCAGCAGCCATCCTATCCACGACGCTTGACGTGTCGGGATAGCCTCGGACTCAAGTCACCCGTGCAGCCGAGGCCGCATGGGGACCGAGTCGAGATGCACACTTCCCACTTGCGTGGAAGGTGGTAGTTGGTGCATGCGGTGGATGAGTGTTGATGCGTGGTGGTGATGGTGGAGGAGGGAAGGAGGTGTGTGGATGTGTGGTGTGGCCGGCAGTTGTCTACCGCAGGCCGTCGTGAATGCGCATGTGGGCGAATAGGCCCATACGATGCCTGAAGGTGCGAGGACAGTGTGGGCAGTGGAGACGAGCTTGGTGGGTGTAGGCTGGTGCTCCAGGCACTGGTTCGCCAGTCTCTGTGCGATGGATTCGAAAGTGACCGACCAGGCCGATCCGTGAGGTGAATGTGCGTGGACAGTGTGGGCACGAGAAGTCGGCGGTGTCGGCTGCGGAGG